TAGGTTAGGCATTCTCCATTTGGTTGTAGCTCAATCGGGTCGATGGGAACACAGGAACAAAAACACTGATCGATGGGTACGTTACTTTGGACTATAAAATCCATAGTTCGGAGAATCACATACAAAAACGATTTGGACAAGTCAAGACACCTGGCTAAGACTCCGTGGAGCAGGAAAGGAAACAGAAATCTGGTTGGTTGCCTAACAAAAAGGACAACAAATAAAGTTTTGAGCAATCGCGGTCGTCCATTAGCGTATGTGTTCGATCACCATAGATCCCGTTTGGGACGTGTGTTATTCGTGTCCCCTAATGACCTTGTTCGGCATGCAATGTCCTCCGAGACAGCTATTAGGGTAAAAGGCAGAAATGATGTAGGAAAGATCTTGGACAGGTAAAAATTATTTGGTCATGCTTGGCTACATTTCATTATTGATCATGGATGTAGGGGCTGTGTCAATCATTTTTGTTGTTGCTGTTGCCTGTCTCGTTGGTGTTTGCTAATGTGACCTGATTTCACTGTTTTCCGGTACCTTGTCTCTATCGAATTGTCTGATCGAGTTTGGCGTTCGCCGCTGTGTTTTTGGGTCATCTCCAAATTTGTATCTAATAACGATACATTTGTCTGAATGTAGGGCATTAAGTGGGTTCATACGCGTTAATTTACCTTGAATGATTGACACCGCGAACAGAGAAAAAAATCCTCAGAAGAGTACAAGATTATGGATAAAGTAGCTGTAGCGTTGTGAAAACATTCAGAGGGACCATATCCACAAAAAAGCAAAAATGTATTACAGACCATGTCCTGCATATGACCACCTAAAATGGATTTGATTAGATGGTGAATAAGATCACAATGATGTATCAATCTAGGTACTTTTGGGAGAGACGCGTTTGCGACTTACGAAATTCCATCCGATGATAAGTGTCACCCAATAGGGTGCGCATGATCAACTGGTCCCGACATGTAGTTTCATCACAACACTTCACGGGAGCCCAGCAAGACAGAGCACGCAGTTCGTCCATGCACGACCAGGTGCGATCAGTTGTGGTAAAACGGGAGAAATGTAGACGGAGTTCCACTGTTCCGGACTCATGAACCACCCATGACCACCTGCAGGGTGTAGCAGAACGTGCGTGACAGACGACTTCGGAGATAAATGTCATGACCAAGACCTAAGTTGTTCGTGCTGTTCAAGTCGCTTCCTATCAGCAATAACCCTCTAACCACATACACATTTACCGATGAATCCATTTTGTACCAGCTGTTTCCGTGATCCTCGATAGTACCACTTTAATAAACACTCTAAACTCGACGACGGACACACATCCACTTGAAACTTCAAGAAATAATAGCTTTACATTGCGTGCAATACATTGAGTATGTCTATTTTGCATAATAACACAATAAGATTTTATGACTTCACTCACATTGTGGGTAACAAGAGGAATAAAAACACTCAATCTGAGCAAACAACTCAAAATGTATCTAATCATCTAGAACTACGCACAGAATTACAAGAAACGGGCAAAACGTATTCGGACAGCATGAACACATGGTCATTCTGGAAAAAGATTACGTATTTTACACACGTCTGAATCCAGACGGTGAACCAGACAAATTAACTCAAATCAGACGAATCCCACGCACGTTATTATCCCGAATTGGTTAGAACAGCCTCATTGAAGAGAGAGAGAAAGGGAGAAAATACTTCATTACACAGAAGTGAAGCGTCTATTTTATTGTACAATGCGATTGCTCCATCGCTTCACACTGCCTTGTCCCGCTCACCCGTGATCTGAAACAAGTAAATTGCTTCCGACTCTCTCTGTGATCTGATTGGATCATTTTGCGCGCTTTGTGCCACTTGGAATCAACGCCACATGAGATTACCGATTTGTACTTTTTGTAATGAATGCTCTTGTTGTCACGTCCAATCCATCCGTGTGATGATGGCACTGCTGTTGTACAGTTCCCTGGGCCTGCCAAAGACTCACGGTCGTAAACAAGCAGTGGTTTCTCGCTCAAGTTGGAAGGTTAAACACCAGGTTCTTTGTTGCAGCTGAATCATCCGACTGATCGATGAACGATGAACGCGATCGGTCGTGTGATTTTCGGGTCGACATAGGAGAAGAATAAGTTCTGAATCAGATGCTGCTCGAGTGTTGACACAGAATCAGTTGTGGAGCAATGTGCCATGTGGGAAATTCGGAATGGAAAAATTTTACGCGGTGATGACACTGGGCCAACGCTTGACTCGTCTAACATACAGGCACTATTTTTCGAAGTGGGTTAGTTAAACGGATAATCCTAATAAAACTTTGAAATCGTCTTAAGTACGGACCACAATATCCACTGACAGAGGTCCACCCAAAAGTTATCTTGGTATTCTCTCAAATGGCTTTTGTCGCGTTGAGAGATCCTGCAATCTACGTCGGAGATGGAATTCCGTGGAAGAGAGCAAACATTATGGAAAAACGCATTTTATTTTATAAAAGTTGTTCAACAGGTTGTTCATCTTGCTGCTTGCATAACAAAATACGACCGATATAGTTTTCTTCCATCTTCAGAATAGTATCAGTTGACACAGCGTGATTATACGCTGTTTTAGCTTCTCGATCGTTCTCCGTTTTTCGGGAATAAGCGGCTTGTACGACCAAGTTGTCTGGGGGAACGTTATTCGTCGGAAGAATGGGTAAAAGGAGAGAGTTGGATATGGAAGAAATAGAGTTCAACAAAGGTTAGGATGTCTGAGCAGTAGCCCACTTTTCACCACTCACCCCGCTCGAGGCAATCGGCAGCGCAGTCCTGATTATCCTGGACGACGACCGAGGCAGTATGGAATTATTTTAGTTTATGTGTTCATTGGAGCTTTATGGATGAGTACTTCTAGGGAGTACAACCAAAAAGCAAAACGATTAGGATCATCAAACAAAAACTTTAGTTCTGACAAGAACCTAACCACAAGGCAGTGGTTAAGGCGGGTTAGAGGCCCATTAATTTGGATCAATCACTCCTCCAACACGTTTACCGATTGAGACGCCAACTCAAGTCGAACCCCCAACCGGGAGGAACAGGAGACCGGACCTTGTCTAGCCTCTACCCATTACCTTCCAGGCATGATCAGTTCTTTGACCAAACAAAAGCCATCCTGTATAGCTCGTTGGATCAAAGAGGTGCACAAGCCATCACATCACGTCAAAGTACAGTCTCGTTGAATCAGTTGAAGCATGCAGCTCACTATAAGGTAAATCGGTTCGGTATTTTATCGTGGTCATAGTCTGTTCGCGTGCGTGCTGCATCAGGATTGAAATGCTGGGTAAGTGTGAACGTACGTGATGAGACCAAAGCATGGTTGAAATACTGCACACGGAGGCCATACTGAGCTGTGAAATATGAAACCCAAATGACAGAAAACCTATGAATCGATATACATACAGAACAGGGAAGTGTGTTTGAACTCACTTTGGCCGCGGCTGTTGTGAAAGAGTCGAGCCACCATCTTTCAAATGTGACACAACCATTGACGGTAACAAATCTAAAATAAACATCAAAATTACTTTCAAGGGGAGTTATGCAGAATGGAATATGGAATATAACAAACGACAGACTGAAATTAGCCGGTTTAGTAACAATAAAAGTTAGGCTACACAACAAAAGGATCGGTGCAGTAAAATCCTTTGAGGGCAATATTAGAATAGATGAGCTTTTGGGGGCCGTTATAAATTGGAAACATACCATGGTTTAGGTGTCATATTAATTCTAAACAAGCATGCACAACACAAGAGGGACAAGTCACGAGTGGATAGATTTTACTTGAAACAATCGTTTTTCTATGCAATCTATTCAAACAATGGAATTCTTCTACAGTATTTGCAACTAAAGGGATCCATTTGTCCGTACAGAAGATATCTTGCACCAATAAGAATTTTAAGTACAAACGCACAAATAGTGTACATGGATGCAAACTTCGTCAGAGCTGCATACAATATGAAGGCCGATACCTGATAGGGACCCCGTCAGTTAAAGCGTCCCAAGATGTAAGGTGAATGCGGGTTAATTAAATGGTCAGTGGGAAGAGATGGGAATTGACTCACCAAGAAAACTACTAATGAAATTTAGAACAATTTCAGGCGAACAATTGTTTTCAAGAACTCATAATCACGCCGTTACAGTTTATATGAGGGGGAAAATCCTAGGGGTTGGTAGGAGCACAATTAAATGTGAGGAATCGTTCACTTTGTGTCTGTGTTTGTGTGTGTTGCACACCGCATTGTTAGATCTGTGCTTCCTGGGTTTTCAGTTATGTCACGATGATCGTATGACCCAGTTCTGAGGGATCGGCGTTATTTTGTGAAAATGTATGTGCGTGTGTACCGGCAGGGGGGGAGGCGTGGGGAGACGGAGTGCTTGGATAAGACGTTTCTGGGCACATAGTTCGGGGGTCAAATGCGTAATACAGACGGCCTCGGCTACGGTGAACGTACGCATTCTAACGTATTTGGACCGGTTCGGGGGCGGGGGGACCTGGTAAATGATGCGGAATGCTTCACGTGGGTCAACACGATGATCAATGTCTACCACGTGGGCGAGAATCGGACTTGTGATAGATCCGGAACCACCTCGACTCAACCAGCGGGGATGATGTTCTTTCATGCGGATAGATAACTGCTGACAACTGATAACAAAATAAAAGCATCTGTGAAAGAAGCTTTTATCACCGAGACAAATGGTAAGTTCAAAAAACGCGACCGTTCACCAGACCACAAAATTCCCACCTAAGAGTTCACGCTGGTATGCGCAGGATCGAATGTGGGGCAACATACATAACCAAGAACGGTGGCAACATATTGGGACGGCGACAGCGATTAGTATTTAATAAAAGCTGTTTCAGCTCATCCGGAAAGACAAACAACCGAAGTACATGATACGCAACATTTTGGAACAGTTCACTACCGGTTCAACAGAAGCCATTTAACGAGTCTAATATCACCCACTCATCGCGAACTATTTTTGCTTTACACGAATATCTCTTGGCACGAGCTGGTCGGTAGAGTGGTAACACACACGCCTTCAATGCGATGGATCAGGAGTGCGAAAACTGGACGGGACGATGAATATACACTACTGATGAGCTCTAATAAGAGCGAAACTCGAGTTTAGTGTTTCCGGGTTGACTAAATGAACGGAGAATCGCGGGCGAATCGGAAGTTTGAATGACGATCAGTTCAGATCAATATCAAGCCTTCCACATTACTGCTCGCAAGTGACTGAGTCAAATGTGAATTGGACAACGAAACAGCCAAACACCAAAGTTAGGTGACTATAGTAGGGTTGAAAAATTAAACACCGATTCTCAAAGTACATCAATTTAAGAGGCTACCAACCGTCTAATGAGGAAGAAACGTCAACCATCTATGGAAACTTGAAGTCAAACGAAAAAGATGGGAAACTGTTCTACACTATTCTGTACAGATCATAAAAACTTGTGTTCCTGCTCTCTACCGATCAGCTTACGATTATATTTCATGCAGTCATGAAAAGAATTATTTCAGTTGAGATAATCGAATTCGACATGGAAAAAATAACATACAGTTCTGTTTACGTCCCGCTCCAAGTTTGTTTTTGCTCAGAAATCCCTTTCGTAAGCGGCCAATCATATCCACATTCACATACGCGTGCGCCTGAAATAAAAGAATGATGGCAACGTGATAATAATCAAGCCCGGAACACAACGGAGTATTTTCTCCGTCGCGACACAGATGAAAGACATTGTTGTTCTTCTTTTTTTATTTGCCTTGCACATAAATATGCGAGAAAATGCCACGTTCGTGCTTGTCAGCAAGTGGAACACAAAGATTCAGAGATGCCCGCGGATTAGCATTTTTAGGGAAAAAGATACTAAGCGATGAGATGAATGAACGACTTGGTCACGAGTGTTGAACAGATGAACCCATCAACAGTCACGGATAATCTTTACGGCCCTTATCAGTGCAGCACAAAGATCACGCGCGGGGTTTCGTAGCTTTTAAAGCATCATGGAGGTTCACTTTCTTTCCCTTCCCCATATTAGGCTCAATCCCTGTCCACCCTACATATCACCACAAACTGTATATGCATAGCGAGTTTGGCAGCGATCAGTGATGTTCGCTTCACTGTACTTCGCTGTATGATGATGACGATGACTAACGAATTTGAATACAGAAGCTAAAAGCACAGGTTTGCACAATGTATCCTGGATCACTCCGCTACATCTGCACACTTACACACTGCAGTTTAAGTGCCTATTGCTAAATGAGCCGACCAACTTAGAGGCATATGGAAACCACCAGGCAGCATGTAAGCTGACTGGACAAGCCAGAATGCGATCGACATCACTGACCGAACACATCTATCACCAAGGTAACCGGATACTCTGTTTTCTGACCTTACATTTTCATTTCTGTTTGCCATGGCAACATAAACCAAGAAGAGGTAATAAAACCGGGGAGTGGTTGTGGCTTTCGCATGTTCAATGACAATAAGTTCTTATCCTCGGGCAGAACCAGTTACCAAGGTACACATTACTCAAAGCGGTAATATCCGATTTAATATGAGGCTAGAAGGTAGTCATCTCTCAAGTGCTCCAAACCTTCACACAAATGTTTTGTTTCTTACATCAGCACTCCGGAGGCTACGTTGGATCGGTTGACGCGACGTCTATTTCATTATCATGGTGCTTTTATCACGACCCAATTTGATTTGCACTTTATAGCTAGCGCCTATCCGTGGAAGGCGCAAATACTGTTCGGTATACGTATTCACATCGTGACTTGAAGAGAAAAAAAACGTTATGACCTCGAACAGTATCCCCGCCCATGAGTAAATTACGCTACTACGATTTGCTCAGTAAAGATAATGGACTCAGATAAGTCAGAAATATAATATCATTATAATTGCCCAAAGGATTTGAAATACCAGAAAAACACTGCTGGTTGAATAAATCACAAAGCGCTATGTGATCACTTAGGACTTTTATTGATCTGGACTAAAAACATTTCAGATCGTTTTATTTTGTCATCCTCCTATTATAGTAGTATCACAGACCCAAAATCGAAGATGAATCGGTAAATTCTCCCATTGCCCGTAATTCACCTTGCCAGCAAACTCCACACATTCAATGAGTTCACATCAAGGTTGTAAACGAGTCAATTTACATGATTTTGTTATCTAATAAGCAGACGATTGATCTTCTGGAATTGAGGATAACAAGAAGCTAACATAATTCTGTATAAAGGAGTCAGCTGTTCGCTTTTTCTCGGGAACTGCGAACGTGATTTACCATCTGCGAAAATAGTACCCTAAACCATCACAGAGCGACTGTTGGAACCTAGGATTCCGAAGTCGAACGAGCACTTTCGCACAGTTGTCCTTCGGGGCCAACGGAGGCGATCCCTGCATCACGATATATCACGTCATTCAATTCAGTCTTCCGACCGATTTCATTTCTGATAGAAAATGATTCGATCTGCGAAATGACTTTCAAGCATGCATGATACTTTTCTCATCGCCCTCAAGTATGGCTGTGCTACTGCTCCGACAACTTGCTGTACAAGGCGAGTACTGATACGCCATTGCGCGGACTGCAGTAAACTGGATGCATTCATTACTTGGTTGAGTCATTATCAGAATCATCGTAAAGCGAAATACAATGAAGCGAACTTCACTGATCGCTGCCAAACTCGCAACGCATACAAAGTTAGTGGTATTATTTAAAGCGAACAGATACCGGACCTATTTCGAGGGCCGGGGAAGGAAGTGAACCTCTACGGTCAACACACGGTACACAATCTGTCTGTGCATAAATACCGTTTCAAGCGTTCTGGCCTGATAAGAAGTGACAACAGGACCGCAACTGCTGTAGGTTCGCTGCCACATCCTTCAGCGTCTCCAACCAACCACAGCCTTTCAGACCACAAAGAGAAGGACGGGAGACACCTAATCTACGTAATAGTTTTACGCGTTTCTTCATATCTCGTCTCCGTGTGATCTGTTGACCTCCACGGGTTTCCTCCAGCTCGGATTAGCTGCAGCGAATAAAGCGCGGTGCGGCAGACGACAGCTGGGTATACGCAATGTGCACTAGCCAGCGAAGCCTATTAATGTGAATTCGATGAGTTAGCAAGTTTATCCCAGATAGACCCCAAAGACACGACCGCTTACCTCCAGAGTACTAACTCAGTTGCTCCATCGGGTGGGGGTGGTGCTGTGGTTTAGTTACTGCCATCGGCGTGCTTTGAACCCTGTGGTCCGAGGTTTGAGTCCCAACAATGCCACCTAAATTTGGTGGTACACAGCTTTACTGTCACTCGTTTGTATACCACGCTTGAGGTAACGGTGCCCTATGTGGTTCGCCACTCGAAGTCCCGGAACTTAGGTTGCCGGTTACCATCACTGAACAGCAGGTCTTCGTGACTATGGGGTCTGCCCCGTCCGCTGGTCATCACACACACTGGTTCGTAATGGAAAAATCTCATGTAGGCTAAACTATGTAAATACCGATAATCGGTGAATACTCGCGAATTCTAGGTCGCAACTATAAAGCAGAACTGAACGAACGATAGCATAATAAACACAACCATTTTACTTCCATGAAAAGTCAAGTCCACGCCAGAACTGTTTTAGTCCTCCGTACGCTACTCGAGCCCTGAAAATGTAGGCTTTTATTCCCTTGGTTGCGCTACCGTTTTAAGTCGCACAACTACCTACGTAGGAAAATCAACCCACTATAACTAATTCCAGGCCATTTAGTTTCAAAGCGGGACTAGGCAACACCCAGCATGGCATGGCTTTGCACTTTGAAGGTACCAAGCACATACCGAATGAGGTAACAGCACTTAGTAGTTGACCAAGTGCGCTTGGCACGTCCACCATACATTCGAACAGAAAGATGATGTCATTCGAGTACTATAAATTGTACAGCTTTTCTCCAGCTACCCATTCAATAAACACGTTTTGGAGACCACAATGAGTTCTCCAATACTTCGTCCATAACGAAATAGAACAGGACTGGCGAAATAGGGAACCCTTGAATAACTGCGTTGCTGGAGGAACAGCCCATAAACCATCAATCGACCATAAATATGTGAGTACAGCACGTTAGCGTACATCTGGGGCATTCCTTTTCGAAGAACGAAAAGCATCAGAGCTTCTCAGTAAACTGAGTCGAAGGCTCGTTTTAGGTCAAGGAAGATTGTAATCGTTGCTCGACTGTGGGTGTGACGCAGCTTAAGGACCTGACGCAACACAAATTTGGTCAATACATCCACGAACAGGACGGAATCCGGCTCGCTGTTCACGGATGTTGGTCTCTCTTAAAGGCGTCAGACGCCGAAGTATAACCGAAGCTAGCACTTTGGTGATGATCGGGATCAAACTGATCTCGCTGTGCGACATCCTTTCTTGAAAATGGGAACGATCAATGACTTGCTCCGAGATGAAGGAATGTGTTCTTGCGTCCAAATGTTGCGCAATAACGTAGTAATACAGCTTACGAGGTTATCACCCCCATTTTGAAAAGAGTGGGAGGGAGCAGCTCATCTGGTCCTGCTGCTTTTCCTCGCTTCAGAGCTTGAATGCTAGACCGAACTTCTGCTGGAGGGTCGCATGACACTGCCCACGGAGCTTCAGTTGCAGATGAATTAATCTGACTAGCGTCAGGCCAACCGAACTACTCGCTGAAGCACTGCGCCCAGTGGTCAAGCCATTCTTCCAATGGCGAATAGCTTATCCATTTGCGTTGCAGATTGTTTCATTTACTGGAGTTCACCTATCTGCCACATTATGTATCAGCTGGAACAGTCTTTGACCATTCCCTGATGCAGCTGTTACTTCCGCTTCCCTAGCTAGCGTTGCTCACCAATTTTCACGGCCCTTCTTGAGGCTTCTCGTCAGGCGACGGTGCAGACACCACCTAACCCTGTTCTGATCCTGGCAGGTCGGGGTTTGTCGTTTGTTCTCCTTCAGCGATAATAACTCATGAGCTATCCAATGCTTCTGACGGGCTTGAGGNATTCACTTAATCTGATCCCACTGATCATCTACACCATCCCAATGAGACGCGCTCAGTTTGTACACTAGCTCCGACTCATAACGTGCACATACTGCTGAGACAGAGGCGATGATGAGCCCACCGAGTTTTCTGGTCTTATCGCCGGTCAGTGAGTGAACTGCATCAAAACTAATGCGTGGTCAGATTCAATGCAGGTGGTCAAATAGGATCTGTGATTTTGTACTGAGCCACGCCGACGGTAGCTTACTGCTATGTGGTCCAGCTGAGCTGGAGCGCCACGTTACCGCCTGTCGAGAGCTGTGTCAGAAGTTGGTACTGCGCAGGGGCTGAAGAAATCGATCGCCCTTATATGTTCGTTGGCAGGGTAAAGCACAACTCCCGTCAAGGCAAGCTTCTGATGCGCTCAGCTTTCCAACCTGCGCGTTGAAATCACCTAAAATCAACCGAATGAAGTTCGTGAGTTTATCGTAGGAATCGTCCTTTTTTGTATCAGATCTGCAATCGATCGGTGCATAAAGAGGTAAGATAAACACTTTTTGGTGTTTCCTTCCGGACGCTGAATGAAACTCTGGAACTCACTGCAAACAAACGACTGTTGACGAGAATCTAATCGAGAAGACAGAACAGCCTTGTTAATGAGTACAATGCCTACCTCGTGCTGACCTACTGAACGGGCTTCGTCGTCGCCTGACGTGTGAAGAACATATCTCGAGGACAAATCTAACGCAACCAAGTGACTTATAGTAGTAGGATCCTGAATACGAGCCTCCGACACAGCAAATATTGATCCCTAGGGATTCCATTGTACTCACTGGACAAGCTTATTTGCCTGTATCATAGTTCTCACGTTGAAAGGCCCCAGATTCAGTGACTGACGAGCCTTTGAAATCCGTAATCTTTCCTTGAAAATAAATTACAATGCTATTTGACGACCTTCGGCGAGCGACATCGAAGTTGCTTGAAGGACTGTTACAGATCGAAAGAACAGGCAAATAGAGAGGGCTGGATGCGGAAGACATAGAATTAATCAAAGGTTGGGATATCTTATCATTATCCACCCCGCTCGATGCAATGGACAACGCAATCCTGATTATCCTGCGTGACGGCCAATGCAGTATGGAATTATTTTTAGTTTATACATGCATTGGGGTTTGATGGACGGGTACAGCTAAAGTGACCAGCCACTAAACAGGAGAGGGATTAGGGTTCTCAAACAAGGACTTTAGTTCTGACAAGCAAATA